TGGCGTCGTGGGCAAGGTGATTGTTTACCAGCGGGCACGGTCATATAAAGAGCTGGCAAGGTCACACGAAGAGCGGGCAAGGTCATATGCAGAGCAGGCAAGGCAATGTAAAGAACTCGTTATATGACCTTGCCGCTCCCACCTACCTTCCTTGGGACCCACCAAAACCCTTCCCGCCCCCTCTAGACACCACTGAGACGCCGCTGTGACGCCCTTGAACCCCGCCCAAACGACTTCTTTCAAGCGCGCTGTTTAGGGGTTTAGGGTTTAGGGTTTAGGGTTTAGGGTTTAGGGTTTAGGGTTTAGGGTTTAGGGTTTAGGGTTTAGGGTTTAGGGTTTAGCCCCCTGAAACACCCACTGCAATGGCCCTGCATCCAACCTCACAACCCTGAAGGCCTGGAAGACTGAGTATTAGGCTCCATACCCTAGGTCGGAAATGACAGCGACGCTGGCGCCTAATTGCTGCATCGACTTGTTCGCGAAGGATGTGGCGTTCTGGTCCGTGGTGGAGCCTATAGAGGAGAGGCGCCTTCCTGAGCCTGAGGCAACAAGATCTAGGGCTTTAGGGTTTAGGGTTTGGGGTTTAGGGTTTAGGGTTTAGGGTTTTGGGGCTAAGGGTTTAGGATTTAAGGGTTTTAGGGCTTAGGGTTTGGGACTTTGGGGCTTTAGGGACTCTGGGACTTCGGGACTTGGGGTGTTGGGGCTGTCATTGCCTGAACACCCACCCCTCTACAGCCCACCCAGGAGCCCTAAACCTCAAGGTTCAGAAATCTTGCAAAACTCAAATTGCCACGATTGCACAGGGTTGAGCCTCTGAAACAGTACCTCGGCAATGCTTTCAAGGGGTATGCAAGGAGAGACGCCTAAACGTAAAGCCCTCGGCGCCACACCCTAGAAACACCGCCCTGCAACCCCAATCGCGGACCTGGCACCTTGAGCATCACAGCACGTCCCAAATCCTCACTCCTAAACCCTAAACCCCAAACCCTAAACCCTAAACCCTGAACCCTCAGCTTGGGGTTTAAAGCTTTCAGGGAAAGGCCCAAAACCTGATCGTGCACCCTTCCAGACCCTCAACCCCCACAACCCGAAACTTCGAGCCTTTCTCTAATGTGAAGCCGGAAACCCCTACAAATTGTAGGTGACATCATTCTGAATTTTCAGAGTTGTTTGGCTAGACTAAACTGCAACGCCCCATCCCAAGAAACCTCAAAACAATCGAGCTTAGCAAATTGATCCAAAACATCCCTGGAGGCCAACAAGGTTCCGGGAAGCCCTAAACAACCCAAAGCCTGCCCAAAACCTACCCGCCTAAGCAAAAAACACACCCGCCCAAAACCCGCCCGAGACCGCTCCCAGAACCCGCGCAAAACCCGCCCAGAAACTTCGCCCAAAACTCCGGACCTAAACCCGATACAATTTCTACAAACCCTAAACCCCAAACCCTGCACCGCGGGCCTGTCTTGGTACCATCCTTCTCTATCAAGTCAAGGAGGTTCTGCTGGGAGAACTGGGCAATGAGGCCACGGTCGTCTTCGGTGGAGTGGTCCTGCTTGAAGTTCGAGGGGGACGGTTGGGTGCTTCTGCTCCGAGGGGTTTCGGGAGATGTCTTGAGCTCCCACAAGGCCCTAAAGCCCTTCGGGTTTAGGGGTTTAGGGTTTAGGGATTAGGGTTTAGGGTTTAGCGGTTGGGTGTTTAGGGTTCAGGGTTTAGGTTGGAATAAGACCTGAACCCCGAAGGCAAAGATGCCGTCCTCGGCATCTTGGACTTCATTGAGGTCCACGTTCCCCACACTCAGCCTGCCAGGTCTGAATGTACGATTGGGGTTGAGGGTTGAGGGTTGAGGGTTGAGGGTTGAGGGTTGAGGGTTGAGGGTTGAGGGTTGAGGGTTGAGGGTTGAGGGAGGGTTGAGGGTTGAGGGTTGAGGGTTGAGGGTTGAGGGTTGAGGGTTGAGGGTTGAGGGTTGAGGGTTGAGGGTTGAGGGTTGAGGGTTGAGGGTTGAGGGTTGGGTTGAGGGTTGAGGGTTGAGGGTTGAGGGTTGAGGGTTGAGGGTTGAGGGTTGAGGGTTGAGGGTTGAGGGTTGAGGGTTGAGGGTTGAGGGTTGAGGCTTAAAGGTTTGGGGTTTGGGGTTTGGGGTTTGGGGTTTGGGGTTTGGGGTTTGGGGTTTGGGATTTGGGGTTTGGGGTTTAGTGCTGCTTACTTAGGGTTGGGATGTCCTTGATGGGGATTCTAGTACCCCCGAGAGAAAAGGGGGCACATCCCAAATCTCAGGGGTCATTGTAGGGAGTGCTGCGCGCTTCCTACCCAAATTGCACAGAAGGGGACCCCGCCCCCCCCGCCTTCGGCGTTGCTTTACAACCTTCTGCTCAGGCTTGGCAGCCGTGGAGGTGTTACAGCCCATGGCGCTGTCGGACTTTCAATTCCACACCCGCAGAAACCAAACCCGGCAACCGAGACCCTAAGCCCTGAACCCTCGGACGCCACGAACCAAGAACAAAAGCCCCCGAACTGAGGGTTGCGCAACCGCTGAGTGGATTTTTCGTGATGGTCTCTGCTGATCAACATGAGGGGCACTCAAGGGCAAGCTGTCAGTTAAGACTGCTTGAGCCCAGACCATCATGTCAAACGCATTCGTCTTCTCACAATCATTCAGAGGCATGGCCGAGCAGTCGCCAGAAGTACCTGGAATGAACCACACAAAGAAGGTACCCATGAGGAAACTTTCATGTGCGGCGAGTTCCCCAAACAAATGGACTGCCACGCTGTGTTCCGCAACCGGGCTGCCCCAGTAGCCCTAGAAAAGTAAGGGTGCCCCCTCGTCCTACTCAGTGGGTTTTCTTAGAACCCAGCCACTCAAAAAGAAGGGAAATAAGGGAAGCACTGGCGGTTGCGGATGGTAGCGGCAACTCTCAGAAAGAGGACCCCACACAAACCCTGAAAACTAAAACGCCCCAATTCAAAATCCCTATTAAGGACTGTTAGTAACTATTAGTATAAGAGGGAGCATGCCTGCGCCGTTATGCAGTCACAGGAAATCTGCCAGTGGGCTGTTTTGTGACAAGCACGCCGGACAGTGCAGCTCCACCTCATCGGCCTCCGCCAAAGCGGCCCGAGAGCCCCAAAGCCCTAAACCCTAGGCGAAGCCGGCAGATTCATGCCTCCTGCTCAAGCTTTCGTCAGCCCTGGGCATAAGAATAGGGCTTTGGGGGGTTCTTATAGTACCACCCTAAACCCATAAAGACTGGAGGAGCTCTGAACCTCAAGGCCATGGGCATTCGTTCGGTTTGTTGTTAATGTGTTTGCTGGCTGGCGCCTTTGGGATTCTGAAGAGGTTGGGGATGTGGGTTGCAAGGGTTGAGGACTTTTGGTCTAGGGTTGAGGGTCTCAAAGCCCGTCAAGCCCTCAGCCCATCGCAATCCTAAAACCGCTAAGCCGTTCAAGTCAAGCCTAAAAACTGAAACCATCAACCTTTCAAGCCAATAAAAGACCTGAACCGCAAAGCCTTAGCCCCTCGAGTGAACCCAAAACGCCCTAAACCCTGAACCTTTAGGCCCTCGAAGGGTAAACCCTAAGCCCCTGAAGACCATAAACCTTAAACCCTGCAGTGCCTCAAGTCCTAAACCCTGAACCCTTCAACCCTAAACCCTAAGCCTTAAACTCGAAGCCTCATCTTTGAACAGCAGCAACAAGGGCGGCCGTGGCTGCAGCTAGACAGGACCCCTGAAGCAACACTAAACCCTGAACCCTAAACCCCTAAACCCTAAACCCCTAAAACTTAAACCCTTACAACCTAAGCACCTAAACCCTAAACCCTAAACACTAAACCCTAAACCCTAAACCCTAAACCCTAAACCCTAAACCCTAAACCCTACACTCTGATAAACCCCTCCTCGGGCCCCTCTGAGAGCCAGATGCTTTGCGCTACGGAACATGTGGTGGGGCTCGACAAGGCACACGTCAGTTGATTTGTTGAAGGATTAGGGTTTAGGGTGCAGTGTTCAGGGTTCAGGGTTTAGGGTTCGGGTTCGGGTTCAGGGTTTAGGGTTTAGAGTTTAGGGTTTAGGGTTCAGGGCTGAGGGTTTGCAGTTTCTGGTGGGTTTTCAACTAGAGGCGAATCTTTCACTCGCCCTCGATGCAACGGCTGATGTCCCAAATGTGCGCGCGCCGCACATCATAATGGTCAGCGTCGGCCAGAAGCTGATTGCGGCGCCAGGCAGCTTGGCAGTGATGCCAGGCGGCCACTTCGGCCAACTTTGGAAATCGGCTTGGCAGGCGCCCGCGCGGGACCGGCGGGGCCACGTAGTCCACAGTGCTCACCGTTTCGAGTCGGAAGTGAAGTGGCGCCTGGAAGCCCAGCAGGCTTTCGGGTTCCAAACGTCCCCACAGGTCAAGTGCTTGGCCAAGGCGGGGATCCAACCCCACGACGCCACGCACGCACAGGCCACATGTTGTCAACCTCGTGGCTACGGTCAAGGCAACCGTGACCCCAAGGCTGTGACCGCACAGGATCGCCCTGCTGTGGCGGATGGCAGCGCAGAGCAGTGCGCAAGGAAAGCCGGAGAGCAGACATTCCTCCATGGGGCGCAGGACCAAGACTTGACCCATATGCCTGGATCTGCATGGGTCCCTCTCGCCGACAAAGGCACGAGCGCCGCCATCAAACATGATCATTGTAGAATTAGCAAAGCATGTTCTCCTAGGGGGAGCAGCCTCAACAGGGCGAGACATGCGACTAATAGGTCCTGGACCAAGTGCACAGCATTTTGGGCAGCTCCGGAACCGAAATCGCTCTTTTCTTACCTCAAGGCTCATGATATATTTGACCCGCAGCTCGCTGAACGCAGCGACGCCTGCAAGCGGGGCCCTATCCTCACCTGACCTTCAAGAGTCACACGTATGCGGGACAACGTCTGGTTGGCTGTGAGAAAGAGGCACGAAAAACTACATACAACTGACCGTAGTGCAGGGCGTCGGAAGGGAAGTGGCGCCAGGCACGGCCACACAGCTACAGGATTTTTGCTCGCATGAGCGCCGCCGTCACATATGATCATTGTGTAACGTTAGTAAAGCATGTGGACCAGTGGTGTCTGCATGTCAACGGAGGGACGTTCAAACTGGCAACGTTGCCGGGTCAATGCCCCCCAACCCCGAAAGGCAGAGATGCTAGAGGCCGAGAAGGAGGAAGAACACGCAGAGCATTGCCGTATCATGGCTACGTCTCCCCCTCAGTTTCAATGGGGTCTCCCCCACCGCGCATCACACCCCAAAGCTCGGGTCTAAGATGCACTGGGGGAATTCTGAGCGTTGCTACCTTCTGTGGCATGTGAGACCCTGCCACGTAGGATCAATCAAGGCAACGTCTGCACCAACCCTCTGGAACGAGTGGGCTCCTCGATGATGTTGGGGACTTGGAAGTGCTTTGAAGCAGACGGCCTTGTGCTTTGGGCGGAGGCTTCTGAGACACTGCAGTGGCGAGCTTAGGGAGTCAACAGTTTATCATCCACAGTTTATGGGCTTTAAGGTGTAGGGTCGTGGTTTGAGATCCGGCTCCCGCCGTGGGACAGGGAGGCCTCACAGCCCATGGCACAAACATCGCAAGCAGACCCGTTGACCCGAAACCGGGGTCATTCGTTCAGACTGCTACACAGAGAACTTCAGACCTTCACTCTTCTCCTTCGCAAGCCCTGAGATGCAATGCAAGACACTTTCTGCAGCTACGCGGTAATCTCCAGAAGCCTTCCGAAACCCTCCAGCACAATGCAAGCACGGTGTGTGTGTGTGTGTGTCCCGAACCAGGGACTGACATTGTAGGCTCAGGTCAACTCAAACGGGTGTGCGAGGTTGAGTGAGGCCTGCAACAATGGCAAAGCTGTTGTTGAAGACCCAAAAAATCAGCAAACAGCTCCCGAATGCCCTCATCCCAATAGCATGGCATAACAATGGAAAGTTGCTGCATCACTTCTGGTCAATCCCAGCAACATCTCCGTCAGCCTTTGCACGCATGTCGAATTTGGCATCGCTGCTTTGGCAAGTGCATACTGCGGTGGGAGTTACATTGCCTTCCTATTGGAAGGATGAACGAGTCATGTGTAACACATCGTCAGATATGCCATTCCCTCAGTGAGGGTCTGAGACAGGAAACGTGGCATCTGATGTCCTCTGATACAACTGTTCACATATGCTTGCCCACATAGTAGCCAAACGATTCGGAAGAAGTAGGTGACCATCGCAGCTTGGGCCACTAAATTTGGACGCGATAACACGACCTGCTCCACACATTGCACGGTCACTGACCGAAGCGCACAATGGTGCATCTTCAGCTCCGATGTAAAACTAACTGCAATGCAGCCCTGCGTGAAGCCCCTTCTGCTTCGCCTGGTCTGGTAGCCTCAACGTGCTTCCACTTATGTTCCCTATCCCCAGTAGTGGGACGACGGGAAATGGAATCTTCAGTTCTGAGCGTCCCCAGCACGCATCCCCGGCAAACCCAACATCAAAACTCTCCCTAACCCCCGCCCCTGGAAGCGAGATACTCAATGCTCGGCTTTCGGCACGGGCTCAAAAACGAAGGAGCGTACCCTAAGGTGCATGGTCATCATTTTCCTGACCACAGAAAAGCTTGAGGAAACGCATTGCAGGAATGGACCCGAGTCCGCTCCGTCCTTCAGTATGCAAGGATGAGGGATTGAAAACCACTGTCTCAGGTTTCTCCCTGAACCCTTCTGCCCTCCCAAGTAGAAACCAGGGACCAAGCCGCAAATTGATGCATCGAACTGACCCTAGATTTTAGGGTTCAGGGTTTAGGGCTTGATGGATGGATAGCTGCCAGGCGCTGAAGTTTTGATGCCTGTCTATATAATACTTCTTCACAAAGAAACTCCCGTTCTTCGCAAGTACAAAGTCATTCGCGGCTACTTTCGCGAATGTTCACGGGGCCTATGTTCAGCCTATTCAATGCAACCGCAGAGCATGACATCAGAAATTTCGTGAAAGGCGCGAAGTTTTTGGCGGCACCTTTCGCCAACCTCTGGCGGACCTCCACATCCGCTGTGATCTTCAAGCTTTGAGTCAGCTTGAAGACACGAACCCTTTGCACAATCCATACTCACACAAACAAGACCGAAGCCGTGCTGATCAAAGGGAAAGCCAAGTCCCCACACGCCCGAAGATGCTTCGGAAGGTCTCCCGATGAGTGAGTGCATCAGCAAACCTAGAGGCAGTGCTTGTGCTCGACAACAACGTAGAAAGCTCAACCACTGATGACTTAGTCCAGCCACAGCGAAAAGGCTGCTCCTGGTTGCGCCGATATCCCTCGAGACCAAGGCAGCAAGTCAACGTGAGCCCCACAGCATGACTGAGGCAAGAGGGCCCCAACAACTGGGTTGTAGGCAGGCTGGAGCAAGAACTGGGCTGTAGGCTGTATCAAGAAGATCAAGAAGGGTGAACACAGGAGAGCGGCCAGAAGCACGAAAACTGAAGTCGCATCCCCTCTGAAACCTGGGTAATTACGACAAAGGTTCTATACTTTAGAGTCCAGTTCGACATGGTGCCAGCATTGGCCGACAATCCGACTCATAAGGCGCCTCTGGACAGCCACGGCGGAAAGTCAGCGTGAGAGCTTGACTGAGGCAGGCGGGTCCGAACAACTGAGCTACATGCAAGCTCAAGCAAGATGGGGGAGCGGCCTGGCAGCCCGGGAGGGGATTCTAAACGGGAAAAACCGGGTAAGCAGCCCAACTCGCTCCCTAAGGTCTTTAAAGCACTAGGCAAGTTGTGAAATGGGGTTTGGCACTAGCTTCAACAAGGGAGCAGACCACGGAACCAGCGACGCTGGCCTGTGCTTAGCAAACGGCGGTCGCGACTTCACGTAGCTCCGACAATGTCCAAAAATCACAAGGTCTGAGCAGCCAAGCCAGCACTTATGGTTGACAGGCCAAAGGGGCTATAAAGACTACTATAGCATTACAGGGCGCAGAACTGCAGTCTGCAGAGTTTGACAAACCTAAGCTAACGCCGTTTGCTGAAGCGAGAGGCCACTCTAGAGCAGAGCCTTCAAACCTTCGGCAAGGTAGGATGTGGCCTGCAGATGGGCAAGAGGAGGCCTAGGCCAAGCACCCGTGTAGGCCTGCAGATGGACAGAAGGGGGCGGCCTGCCCCAGGCCAAGCACGTGTGCGGGGCCCACTAGTCCGCAGTGGCGGGCTGGGCAAGGAGGCACTTGTGTGGGAGATGGCCGAGCGGCCATGACTGGAGCGGAAGGCAACGCACAATTCCTGCAGCAGCTGGTTCCGCAGAGCCGAAGCAGCCACACCCTTGTGCCATTCAGCGGCACGAGCCACACACACACAGCGCGGGAGCAGACTCCTGTATCAAAACCTAACTCTCCGTTACCAGTCACTGCCACAAGCGCACCCGACGGTTTGAAGCACTTTTGCAGCTGATAGGTCAGGAACTTGAAAGATGCATCGTCGGCCAAACTGCCCGATTCATCGGTTGCAGCCCCTCTGGGATAAGTGGTTGGGCGGCATTGTGTTGTTCATTCGTGTTCATGGCTTGGCCAACGCGAGATGCGTCTGGAGGCTGCCTTCCGCGAGAGCCTATAGAGGCAAGCTGTGCATGAAAGTGCAACCACTAATCCTTCGCAGGCCAGCCTTGCCAAACACACGACAACGGCAGCTCAGCGCCCATCCTTGATTGGAAGCACATTCCGGCGCAGCATCCCAGCCCATGCGGCTGACGTGGCTGAAGGGATACAATGCGCCAAACAAGAAGCCCGGAAATGGCCTGGAAGTTGTGACGCTGCGCATCATTGCGCCTCCTTGTCTTCACCAACTTCTGTCCTACTTGTAGCTCAAAGACCGGGCGGGACAGCATACTGTACCGGCTGGGCGACATCTGGTGACATTTTCTTCATGTGAGCGACTGCCAAAGCCGGCTGGCAGCGCTAATGGACGCAACATGAGGGGTGTCGCCTTTCCACGCTTGATGTCTGCAAGTGTCACTTTTGGAAAATTCTAAGTTACAGCCCACCACAACGGTTCATTGACTTAGGGGGTGCCGCATTTCATGTGGTCCCATCGCTTTAAAGGGTTTTAGGCATTCCAGTCCACCCCTTGCTTACTTGAATGGCTGGGGGTTTTGGCGCTTGCTCATGTGTCACGCACAGGCACTGCAACAGAATCGAACTGCAACAGGATCGAGTGCAGTCACTAGTCCACATGTCCAGTGTCTGGGGACCCAGACCTGGACAGCATATTGCAGTAGTGATTGGGCGGTATTGTGTTGTTCCTTCGCGTTCATCGCTTGGTCAGTGTGAGATGTGTCTGGAAGACGTGCAGGCGTGCATGAAAGTGCGCCTCCGATGCGCCCTAAACACGACGCAGCGTTCATGATATTGGGATTCAGGGCAGTGAGCTGGCAGCGGGGGTTCAGCCGAAGAAGCAGCCCTAGCTTGTAGAGGGTCTGCAGCTGTTGTACGTAGGCTTTGCCGCTACTTTCCACAACCCCCGGTGATGCACGAGAGACTATCTGGATGCTGTACACTGCACCCCGTAAACCCCAAACTCGAAGGAAATGACTCGAAACATGTAGACCCCGCCCCGATAGGACCAAGCGAGCCTGATGCAAAGGGCAGTATGTGACAAGCAATGCATGTGCGAGCAAGAGCGCAGGAAGCTGTACACGAAAGCCACTCAGAATGCCATTACATCTGGAGTGCACGGGCTCTATGCAGCCGACTGGCATGCTAGCTGCAATGTGATTTTTCGACCGGACGACACACGCATGTGAACTGTTGCGAGCATTTTGCTGATGC